GAGCCATTATGTGTATGTGACTGGGTCCCGAAAACACTGAACTGAAATTCAATCAAAAAAAAAAAAAAATCTGTTTTAGAAGGCGGCCGAATATGGTTGCGACTTATCGGCAAGCTTTTTGCCCGTACTGGAATCAGGGCTGATATAGAATGATTTGTTTATTGTGTATTAACTAGTCATCATTGTACCAGCATTTATTGTATACTTAATAAATTTTTTTACTTTTCCACTAACTTTTATTGTATTGCTTACTGTGGTGTATTATTCTGTATTGTTTGTGTGTAGTACATAAAATAAAACCCAAGCTGGAACGCACCAGGCTGTCCGGTGCGATCATGCGTTTTTACACTAAACTCGCAGATCGCTATTAGCAAGAATGATCCATACGCTGTAGCCTAACACTTGGGCTCATATTGGCCGTGTTTTGGCCTCTTCCGGCATACCAGGAGGGAGGGCGTCAGTTGGAACGAAGGTGATGCATTACAGAGCCGCACGGAGATCCAGGTGTATGATTACCGATTTTTTGCATGAAGTCCGGTCGTTTTTTTGGTAAGTGCTCGCTTTGTGAAAAGGAATGGCAAATACAAATTTCTTGAAAAAATGCAAGTTCCCAGTTCACTGAAAAGTGGAAGTATTGCTCGAGCGGTCGTTTGTCAAAAAGTCCACGTTCATTTACATATGCGATTGCGGTTAAGATCCGAGCTGGGGGCGATTTCTTTGAAAATATGCAAATTTTCAGTTCATTAAAAATTCAAAGTATTGCTCGAACGGCCGTTTTTCGAAAAGTCCATGTTCATTTGCATATACAATTGCAGTTCAGGTCCGAGTTAACAATTTTTGGGTTGAGAAGCTGCCTGAGGCTCCGGTTGGGGAGCTAAAGGGCTGAGTTTAAAATTTTTATCTCGCACGTGCATAGAGAATATCCTTGCAAAGTTTCAGCTTTCTACGTTGCCTGGTTCGCGAAATTGTTTCCCACGCAACATATTTCTTTGGTGGTCCCGTACACGGGGTCTAGGCGCGTATGGGGGAAGGGTCTTAAAATGGGAGGATGACACACGGGGTAGGAACATATATTCGAAGTTCCAGCTTCCCAGCTTTCCTAGTTGCTTAAATGAAAGTGGGTGACAAAATGCACTCGCTTTCCGAGCACACACACACAGCCTCTCGACAATATGCGTTTTTGCTGGCTGTAGCAGCGCTATAGCGCTG